AAATTAAAAAATAGATGCATCGCGGAAAACTCAAACCTAAAGCAATATATCTATCTAATAAGCAGAGGAAGACTATTCCCTGATATTGGCCCATCATATGATTCTCCAAAGATAGCCAATGTTAAGAATACTGTAGAGGCTGATATGATGCAATTAGCCTGCAAGACAGTGCTAACCCACAAATGACTGCATACAGCATATTACTTGAATATTTTTATTAGTTGCCATGAAATAAAAATCAAGTTTCCCCATAACTGATATACCTTCATGGAGCTCCTAGTTTTGGAGGTGAATGCTAAGTAAACAGGTCACAACCCAGCATGAAAAATACTATGGTTCCTGCCTTTTCACAGAAAATCTAAAGGGCAGTGATTAGCTTCAGCTGACTGGTACCAGTTGCTTAACACGAGGCCTTCTCACTAGGTTGTCATAGTTCCTTCCTGGACCACAAATCAAGCCAGTTTGGCCCCTATATGCACTGAAATTTGCAATCACTGATATGTATCCTTATAAAAAAATTCTATAATGTCCTGAGGGTAATGAACACTGCCTACAGCCTTCCCTTTTCTGTTATTTCCATGTCTATTTAGACAGCTGTACCCATAGATAGTATTCCCTTGTATGATTACGTTATGGTGTATGTAACCAATCCTTTCCTGATCTATATTTATGTTAGCTCTATTTATTTTCAACTATAAACAATTTAACAGTGAATAGTTCGCATATTGTCTTTGTGAGCATTTCTCTTGACTGGACTTCTAGATGTAGAATTACTAAAGAAAAGAGAATGCACACTGAAAAACAATTTTTTTGAAGCATAGTCACTTTTAATCTTAATTTTTCAAACTTTTACTGTGTATGCAGGATGTGAGCTGGTTTGGGCCAAAGCTTTTCACAGTCCAGTGCTCAGAAAGACACACCTAACCCTAGCCCTAACCCTAACCCAACCAACAGCCAGCTGAGGCGCAGATTGGGGTGCTCCCATCTCCGTTCACCCCTGAAGTGTGGGTTCTAGTCTCAGATGTGTCACAGTCCAGGGCCAAAGCCCCTCTTCTCTCCACCACACCCCCCCATGTCCCTGCACAAACCTGCGTCCACACAACAAACATTACACTGTGACTCTCGTGTGGCACAGGGAAAGTACAGATCCTTTTCAGCAGGAACCTCGGATCTTCCAATCAACATCTCATCATCTGCAGGGTCAATGTGGAAAAGAGTGTTCCACAAAAGCAGGTTCTGCTGAAGCAACGTTATATTCTCCTATAGTTTTAGTTAAATCAGAATGTCCATTTAAATAAATCCGGTGTGTGTGTGTGTGTGTGTGTGTGTGTGTGTGTGTAAAACTGAATAAAGCAAATACCACTAAAAAGTATCAGTGTGAACAAATATTCCAGGGGCTAGAGATATGGCTCAGGGGGAGAGCACCTGCCTACCATGTACAAGGCCATGGGTTCCATCCATAGCACAACAATGACAAAGAGCCTATTTCCTCAGTTAAGGAAATGCTAGGATTTGTTATGAGGGATATATCTCCATGATCCATAAGAACCAAAACTACAGAGTTTAGTTTCAATATTTCACCTTTCTTAAAAATGTATTTATTTTAATTGACCAAAATTATATGTATTCATGCTGTCCTACCCAATGCTTCGATTGATATTTGTACACCCTGTGGAATGGATACCCCAACGTTTCTTCCACTGATCTCACTGTTAAACCAAAGTCCAGGGACATGTGGAAAGGCAAACACCCACAGTGCAGGCAGCAGGACCCTGTGGAAGGGTGCGAGAAGCCTGCAGTACCTGGAGACAGACATGCTCGTGGCCCAGTCCACAGCACCTGGGGACACAACACACGCCCACATTCATGAGACAAACAGCAGGACCGGGGAGTCCAGAGTCCAGCCTGGTGGTGAACCGCACACCCTTCTTCCCTGCAGGGGAAAGGACCTGCCTCCCTTTCCCCATGACACCGGAGAAATGGGCCTGTAAACACTGAAAATTTTAATAGACAAGCCCAAAAGGCCGAAGGTTTAGAATCTAAACCACGATTAGCTCCAAGTAGGGACAAGGAATGATAGAAGTTGGAGAGTTACATGGAAGAGCCAGACCAAGCAAGGCAAATATATTTTAGAATTCTAGTAGAAAAGTTAATTCACAGTCATAAATTAGGCATCAAAACAAAATGAGATAATTCCAGTTATCTCTATAGGAATTTTCATTTGTTATTGAAAACCAAAAGAATTTTTGTTTAAATGTATTCATGATTCTTTATTTAATTTGTTGGCATTTTTTCATTATTTTCTCTCAGAAAGAACTTCCTTCTATATTCTGCCACTTCCTGTTTCTGGTTTATTTCCCTTTCTGCTGCTTGTAAATTAACATGATGCTACTGTGAGAGGATGATTATGTTCCCAAGGTTTGAACTTTAATGAATTAAATTAAAAATAAAAGTTTAGGATCAAAATTGCAATAAGATAGATTTAGATGGCCTCTTTTAAAAATATCATGAATGCAGCAAATGGATGACATGAAAGTTAAGGGCACAAACTTCCTGGGACTAAATCCTTGGTGCCTTGTGCACTAGCTAAAGCAAAACATAAGCTCTCGGGCCAGGAATTTAGCTCAGTGGTTTCGACACCTGCTGTGCAAGCGCAAGGACCCGAGTTCGATCCCCGGTACCAAAAATAAAAAAAGAAAACATAAACTCTCTAAGGATCTGTTTCCTCTTCTGTAAGATGGGGGTAATAATAAGGTTATGTTCTTTTCACAGAATCTGGCACAAAATGATGTTAATTGTTATTATCTATTCTAGCATAATAACCACCCACCCCTCTTAAAGTTCTACAACGTGCTGCCCAAGACCACATCAGCCTCTAGGGAGCTACTTTGTGGGTTACAGTCATCAAATGGCCAAATCAGAATGAGTAACTGCTTCAGGACAAGAAACCAGGAGTTGAGCTCAGTTTTAAAGTGTACTTTAGATGCAACATGGTAGATAATAAGAGGCCTGGCAAAGGGATAATGGCTAAACTTGACTGAGTGCTTACTCTGTGTCACTCTCTTTGAAGGATTTTATAAGCATCTCTTCAGTGTATGTTCACAATAATCCTAGGAGATGAGTGCTATTATTACCATCCCCTTTTTCTCAGATGAGAAAACCAAGTACTGAGTGTGTAAGTGGCTTGCTCTATGTCACATTCCTATTAACAAGATAGCACAGGCCATCTGAGCCAGAGCTTCTGGTCTTAACAAACAAGATCAGAAAATGAGAAAAAGAAAAATGAAGATATTGTAAACTAATATCTTTGGAACACCTTCTATATACGAGGATATTGTTCTAAGTGTTGCCAACACATAGTAGGAAATTCACTCCTTGTAACAAGCCTGAGAGGTACATACTACTGATCACATTTTTATGTATGAGGCTCAGAGCTATTGCACACACAAGGTCATATAGTTGTGAGTGCCAGAGCTGAGTGTCCAAAATGTCTCCAGATTCCAAGTCCTAAGCTTTTGCCTCAGGAATTCAGTTGTGAATTCCAAACACAGATGAGTCATCCTCATCATTCATCAAATATTTATTAAGCACTTACTTGTGTCAGTCACAAATGATCAATACACAAATGGATCTCACACCATAGGACAGAGATGTGTGAAAGAGAAGAAAACTTACAATGGAGGGAATGAAGGAAATATGAAGACATGAAGGAAATAACATATAATATCATAAATTAATATATAACCAGCTTTTGCATAGGCTCTTACAAAGATATCTACTTGATTGGATAAATGTTATTTACATTCATTTGTGGAAAAATAAATCCAATTCTTAAAAAAAGAAAACATTTACTTCTCATGTATTTCATATTGTTCTAGAAGACCTGACTCTGAAGAAAGACACCTAGGAATAATCAAAGCATTTGGGGAATTACTGAGTTTTGCAATTTTTTCACTTGTGTGATCTAAAGTACAAGATTGTGGTTACCCAATAGCCTAGAAAAATTGTCAGTTTTTGCACAGACATGCTCTGTGTTTAATAAGAATTAAGGTTGCATCCTGTTTGTGGTTTGGAATCAAAATATCTACCAATTTCATCAGAAAGGAAGCAGTAAAGAAAGAGAAGGAAGACCAATTAGTAACGAAATGACTAATCACAGCCCTTTTCTTTTGTAAGGCACAGTGTCTGTTATGGATTAACATTTACTTACAGCAGTTTTGGATCTTTGATATTTATTTTTAATGGCTATTTTATTGAGTGTAATACATTGATTATTAGGACTATAGGATTTAACTCTCTCTGCTGTATGTGTTTTAGCAAATCTATAATGATTTAAGGTACTTTTATCTTTTAAAAAAGTCTTACACTAGTAATACATGTTCATTGTAGAAAAATCACAAAAGCACATAAGCAAAATGAAAAAATAAATGCCAACCAATAACTAGCACCCAGAAACAACCATTGCTAATGTTTTGCCCTACCTTCTTCTAGTGCCAATATTATACACCTGTGTGTTATCTTGTTTTGGGGGGGGGGGGTTGAGTTTTTTTGGTACCGGGGATTGAACTCAGGTCCTTGCGCTTGCGCAGCAGGCAGCAAAACCACTAAGCTAAATCCCCGGCCCTACCTGTGTGTTATCTTAAATAAACTGGACCAACTTGCAAGTTCTATGTTAACTTAATCATGAATGTCCTTCATATTATTAAATATACATTTCCCTGTTGTTTTTGATCATTGTGTAGTATTCCCAGATTGTATATATTTCGGCATTTTCCTATTATTGCATATTCAGGCTGTTTTTAACTTTTAGCTACCTAAAAAGTAATACTATGACAAACATACTTGGGTACATATCTATTACATTAGTATAAATTTTTAGAAGTGGTATTTTAGGATTAAGAGACATATTGATATAACATTGGCTATGTACTGAATTTTTTACTTATAAATAATTATAGATGCAGAAGATGTTCTAAGAATGGTACAGAGAAGTCCCTTGATCCTCTTCAACCACCTTTTCCCAATAATAACATCTCAAATAACTAAAATATGTTAATAAAAATAAACAAATAAAAGAGGAAACTGACATGAACATAATACAATCAACTACACTACAGATTTTACTCAGATTTTTACTAGATGAATTATTTTCCAGTGTTAACAGAGTGGTAAAATGCATCCTTAACCACTTTCCTACTTTCTTCGCTCACAAAGCTGCCTTTAAAACTGCCTTCTAATCTTCTGTGGAGGAAAGAAAGTAAAGATACTCCATAGGCTACTCTCTTTTATTGAAAATCAAGAAGAAGAAATGAAAGTAAGACTCTCACTAGATACAAAGATGGTAAGCCACTGTGAATACGGAAAATGGGTAGGCTTCTGTCCTCTTGTTTCTTTACAGTCATCAGAGTTCCTTTATGATACACCAGCATTTCCAAAACCTGGGGAACCTAAAAGAAAATGAATAACTCTGAGTCTCACAGTTAGAAAGTTTTTCTTTTTCCTCCACTCATCAGATCATATGGTGAAGAAAACCTCAGTTTCAAGCTAGTCCTTAATGCTTCTCCAACACTTGCTAATTTTTTTAATTGCTCAGGTCTCAAGTTTAAATCTAAGCAGGCAATAGAATTTAACTGCAATTCAATGGCAATTTATAGCTTTAATTAAATGTGTATTTATTCTCACCCTCAAATTGCAGCAAATGAAAGTGGTTCCCCATTTACAGAAGTATATTTTTAGTTTCCCTTTAAAACAAATTATTTCAATTAAAAAAGTGATTTGATTTTTTTAAAAGTGTATGACTTTTGTATTCAAAAGGCATACATGGGGCTGGGGATTTAGCTCAGTGGTTCCACCTCCTGCCTTGCAAGCGCAAGGACCCAAGTTCGATCCCTGGTACCAAAAAAAAAAAAAAAAAAACCAAAAGGCATACAAGGGGGATGCAAAGGACTAAAGGTTAGAGATTCATCGTGTTTGTGCATTTTGTATATGTGCTGCTGAAGCAAGCACTGTTTGTGCATTTTGGTCAATGAAGTACACTGTACTGACTAACCCATGTACTAGAATGTTATTGTTTGAGATTGAGTGGGAACCCTCTGGCTTTTTGTTTTTTATGAGATCTGTTTACAAAAATGAAGAAAGAGGGGTTCTACAGTTATTAAACACTTATTGCATGTATTGTCTCAATTAACTTCTAAGAAAAATCTAATGAGATCCTATTATAAACCTCCTTTTATACTTGAAGGATCCGAGGAAAATAGGAATAGGGTAATTTGCTGAAGTGATCTATCTAGTAACCAGCAAAGCTGCAATTCACATCAGGTCTACTGGATTCCAAAGCCATGCTCTGGACTGCTGATTCAAACTGTTTCTCATGAAACTTACGGACAATAATTCCGCTCTAAAGGATTCATAATGACTCTTTAGTTTGGATCACTTTACTGTGGATCTAGTGATTGCATAGGAATACCCTAAAGGACCTCCTCGCCTCCACAGATCCCCAATTCCAGAGGCAATCTCACAGTTAACTTCATTCCAGGCCCATATCCTTTAAAGAAAGACAGGATGTCTAATTGCCACCCAAACTCCGCCATTCTGCCTTCCTTCACAATTCCACTGTTGGAAAGATGCCCACCTTCCTCCTATTATTCATCTCCTCAAATATTCCCAAAAGTTTCCCAGTATTACAGGGACAAATTCAATACCATGGAAACAGAGAGCATCGCTCTATGTAAATATTTAAAATATATATCCAAATTTATACTAGGTACTGAGAGAAGAGAACAAAGAAGTACAAACCAAGGTGTTAGAGCTTAAGAGTAGCTTCATGACCCTGAGCCTCTAATGCTTTAGATTTCCAAACACCTGAACTTCTTTGAGGGATTTAGGATAGGCTTATCAATGATTGGCTTTATGGCAGAGATCCCCAAGAGTATCAAAGGGCTAAGACCAAATGAAAAGAGCATAATTCTAAAATAGCACACCTCAATTCCAATAAATAGTAGATCTGAGCAACAAAAATTACCTGCACTCTTGTGATTTAATTTTAAATTCAAAAGCACTCTCTTAGTCTAAGAAAAAGGTTAGCTTCTTTGAAGTTAATTTCTTAGGGAAGAGTAGTTAAGGACAGGAGAGCAAAAGAATGAGGAAGAACTGATAAAAGGTTGAATTATTGTGTCTGTCACCCAATGGATGAATGGTGCTCATTTCACAGGACATTCTGAACAGCTTACACAATTTCATGACCAGCCAGCTGAGCATGGTGTCTCATACCTGTTATCCCAGCATTTGGGAGGCTGAGGCAAATTCAAGGCCAGCCTGGGGTTCATAGTGAGTTCAAGGCCAGCCTGAACTACATAATGAAACCCTGTCTCAAAAAAAATTTCATGGCCAGCATGGATCCATACACTGCCCATCAATCAGATCATGATCCATACTTCTGGATAATACAACTGCAAGTGGTGAGGAAGTTCCCAAGCTTTACCCCAGGTGTCAATATCAGAGAAGCTGGAGCAGGAGGCAAGAGATGTATGGCTTGAGGAGGTTTAAGGAAACACACTGCCAGGTGGCATCTACCCGAATGTGTAAAACTTCTTAGATTGAGGTGGGACTGAGAACATTCAAAGTGGTACCACAGACATGTCTGAAATGAAACCATTCTTAACAGTTTGATGTACATCTGCTCAAACACAGGTTTATTCCATCTTCCATTCATAAGCTCATTCTATAGGCACTTACTAAGCATGAACTATAGACCACTCATAAGATATGAGAATAGAACAATAACAAGACACATAAGTGCCATGCTCTCTTATAATCTAGGTGAGAGAGCTGGGTATTAAATAAATCATTAAATGACAAATACTGAGTCACAAGTATGATAACTGTTATGAAGGAGAAGGGTAGGATGACAAGCATTCTACTCATGAAAATCAAGGATGATGTCCCTGAGAACGATATTTAAGCTCAAATCTGCAAAGAGGGAGGTGAAAATAGCAGAATGAGCAAGAGGAAAAGAAGAGAGGAAGGAGGAAGAAAGAAGACCATGAACAAATACCCTACAGCAGAAAACTTAAACTTTCCTAAGAGTGAAAAGGGGAAAGCCAGTGATCTGGAGTGCAGGAAGTAAAGGGAAGATGTGTGTTTGGATAAGCCAGATCATAAAGGGTCAAGAAGGTCAGGAAAAGGATTTGAATTTTATCCTATGGTCAATAGAAACTATTGAAGTGTTTAGAACAGGGGAAGAATAAAATCAGATTTGCTGATTTTTTTAAAAATAGATTGAGATGTAAACAAGGCATAGTGGCACATACCTGTAATCCCAGTACTTTGGGAGGCTGAGGCAAGAGGATTTCAAATTTGAATCCAGCCTGAGCAACTTAACAAGATCCTGTCTCAAAAAATGAAAAAGGCTGGGGATGTAGCTCAGTGCAAAGACCTTGGGTTCAATCCCCAGTACCACAAAATTAAATAAAAATAAATTAATATATAAACACAAGCAGCAGAAACTCATAAATATTGCACAAGGATTTAAAGCTCAGCCTGTAATTGCTGCCTAACTTTCCAAATGTAAACAAGAGTGTTAAGGGGATCAGTGAAGTCGAGGGGCCTGGAGTCTAGCAAAGTATGCAGAGTTCACCTTTCTGTCTGTTTTTATGGACTAGCTGTACTTCTGTGCCAACATAGCATTTAAGTAAGGTGAAATGAAATCCTCTTTGAAACTCTCCCTCTTCGTCTAAAGCTTCAAAAGAAAATGTTTCCCCAAGACTAACCTCATATGTGGGTGGTGTTAGACCACCTACAAGTATGATTTGAGAGGTGCTAAAAGACCCCCTCTTCCACTAGTGCCTTAAATCCCAACATCACAACTCATTGGTTTGATTCCCAATTGCCAAGCATTCTGGAAAAGAGTAATCCAGTGGATCTATCTTGCCTGCTGGGACTGAGCTGGTTTGATTGTGATTTCTCAGGGATAGGAAGGATTGAAGCTTTTTGAAACCACTGCCCATGCATGGACATGAAGGAGCCATAAGACTGGATAGATGATAGGACATGAAAGGAAGAGGAGCCCACACTCCTTTTCTTGACTTCTGGGTTTTGTCTTGGGTTGGTTCTAGAATCGGCCGGTTTGCATGTGATGGACCTGTGTATAAAAGTATGTTAATGTTTACAGTAAAGTGTATACAGTTGTACTTATGGTACATACATGACTTTATAATGTGAGAAGCAAACATGGTAAGGAACACAGGTCGTTGATTTAGACCAACCTGTGTTCATATCATAAGCTTTGTAACCCTGAGATAATTTGTTTAAATTCTTAGCACTTGTCTGTGGCATGCAGCAAGTGCTCTATAAATGTTACTGTCTTTAAGATTAGTGTATTTGAGATTACTGTCTTTGAGATTAGTGCAAGCATGTAGGTGCATAAGTGGGTGTGTTAGGAAGATAATAAATATTTGAAAACAAGCAGGGACAGGCAATAGGGGGTAGATAGGAGCAAAATATATTATACGTACCAACCCTCCCCCCCAAAACAAAACAGGCAGGGCAAGGCAAAGTATGTTATGTGTATGTACAATTCTGCCACAATGAAGCCCATTAATCTACATAACCAATAAAAAAATGAGTATCGGGGGGGGGGGGGCAAGCAAGGGAAGAAAGGAGCATGTTGCCAGTCCCTGCAGGAGAAGTTCTAGCCCTGGAGTGGCCCTTTCTAGATGGTAGGGGAACTTCAGAGCACCTCACAGAGGAGACGCAGGTTTACCTTTAAGAGAAAAGCAGAGTAAGGAGACAGTAAAGAGTCTCAGACCACCAGTGACTTCCTTATGGTCACAGAATCGTGGAAATTACCTGAAGGAGATAGGAAGGCAGACTGAGAAGCTCAAAGGGGAGATTAAAAGAGTTAAAAGTGGTTTCTGAGATAATGTGCACAAAACTAGGATTCAGTGCTCAGAAGACAGATAACTTCATCTTCTTCTTCTGAAAGTTTTCCTTTTTGAGCTTCATGCATGTTTAATTTTTCAAAACTAACATGGAAGAACTTTTTTAAAAACATCAGTATTTTCAGGTTCCCTCTGAAGATTTTCCCACAAAGCTCTAAGTGCTGTCCACATACTAAAGAATTATTATCCTTATGTTGGAACAGAAAATGTATTTTTTAAAAAGAATATCCAGTTATAGTTTCAGTTCTGTCTGTAACTCACCAGGCAACTTCAAAGAATCTCTTGATCTCTCTGGGCATAGAACACTCATCTGCAAAGAGAAGTTGATTGGTCAATCTAGGTCATTATCTTTTGACTTCTTGCTATCCTAGGTGAGGTTTAGGCTGGATGTCATGGCACAGGCCAGCACTCAGGAGGCTGAAGCAAGAGGTTGAGGCCAGTCTGGGTTATATAATGAGACCTTGTCTCAAAAAAAAAAAAAAGAAAAAATGAGATCTTGAACCATCTCTTCTCATCTTAAAAGTTATGTCACTCTAATGACACAGTAGTTGAGAGCACAGACCTCCTGCTTTCTGCTAGCTCTGTCTGCTAGGATGAGTTATTTACCCTGTGGGTCTCCCTTTCTTCTGTACAGTGAAGGTAGAGTGCACCCTTGGGCTGCTAAAAGGGTTAAGCAGGTTAATACAGGGGAGGAATTTAAAACAATGCTTGACACAGATAAGGGTTATCCTGATGTTGGGTAATACTATTATTTACTTACTCAACTGGATACCTTTGTAATTGTATATGAGATGTATTCTTGGTAAATACAAAATGGAAGTATGAGGTGTCATTTGGGGATCTGAAATAACTAAAGTGGGTGCTGGACAAGAGGAGAGCTGGGACCATTACTTTTCCTCTTTAAAAAAAAAAAATTTCTGTGCTTTGATTTTTCAAGTGTATGTATATATGCAGTAGTCTTTATTTTCCAAAGAGATTGAGCCCAAAGATCACCACAATTCTCATTTCTAAATTCAGGGACTGACTATAGTCTTAAGGAGCAGCATTTCCTAAGTGGCTGGCTTATCCTTAAAAACGTTTAAAATAAACACAATCACTTTGGCATGTTATAACTGGGCAGGCTTCAACTTTAGATAAGAGAAAAATGGAGAAGACAGAAATATAACCTTTGTAAATCCTTAGACTTAGGGGCTGACTGCATACGTTGCCTCTGACAATCTTTTCCCGGGAACTGACTCGGTGACACACGGGAACATGCAGCAGCAGAGAGCAAACTCTGAAGAGAGCGGCTAGCAGGCAGCAGCGGCAGCGAAGGCGTTAACAGGGCGGGGTAAGGCGATCCCTTAAAGGGATTAGGTAGGACTGCGAGGTTGTTAAAGTTTTGAAGGCAGTGGCTGGCCGAGGCAGCACTCAGGAAAAGGAAGGCAGCTGGAGGAGTGCACTCCTGCCGATCCGACGACCCAGCCGAGCTGAGCTCGGCAGAGGTTACAGGCACAAGGTTAGTGGCCCCGCACCTCCCCAGCTTGCTGGCGCTGACGTCTCTGGAGAGGACTCTTAGGAAGGCGAGGCGCCATCTCCTCCTCGTGTGTCGTGTCTTCTCTGCTTACTGTGGAGTAAGTAGAGACTGGCTCTCCTGCCTGCAGGAGTGCCTGGCTGCATCGGTCACCCAAGCCTTGGCTTTCGTGAGGGCCAGCTGACTTCTTCCCAGAAGACTTTTCTAAATGGAGAATGGGCTTCAGACACTCAAAAAGAAACTTTCTAAAACAAGGATTGATTGTAGACCGCCCACACACACACACACACACACACACACACACACCCTACCTTACGTGTTGCTTCAGCTTGGTTTTTACAGATTGTGACCACAACCCAGAATTCCTATCAGCTTCAGTTGAAACTGAGAGCAACTGTCAAAGCAACTAAACAGGCTGCACGACTTTACCTCGTAGGAGGAAGATTGTCTCTGAGGCTAAGTTAATCAGAGGGAGGGAAAAAGAGAGAGAGAGAGAGATTGACTGACTGACTGACTTCCAAAGCTTCCAAGTACCCTGGCCTGTAATTAAGGCAAAACAATTTTTGAAAACAGATTTCTAGTAGGAGTTTTTCTAGTATATTGCTATAACAAAGTAGTAGAGGAAGACATATTGCAGACCGCATAATTCCACATCTGCATGTGGTTCAGATAAACTTATTTAAACTCAACTGCCTGTTATTCAGATAGTAAGCAAACATATCTAGGGAAGGAAGGAAGAAAGCTAGGTAGTGTCACAGAAATGACGTTCTGAATGGGCTTTGATTTGAGAATTAAGAGTGACTATCTGAGACCTTTTCCCAGGCAGGGGTAAAAAGGACTCCTTCCAGCCCCAGCTGATAGAGAGGAGAGTGTAGCCACTTCGACAGGGCAGTTTTGTCCCCCTGCTCTCGCCATCCAGGCAGAGGCAGTGAGTTGTCTGTGGCTGTGCTGAATGTTCCCTCTGATCCTTGCAGCAGGCTCAAGTGGAGGCTTATACCTGCTAGCACTGAATCAGAATGAGTCATTTGAAACTTGGGTTCTGGAAAAAAGTACTTGCAAACTGCCTTATGAGATACTGCTTCAGTGTAGGTGGGATACACCTCTCAGAGCAGTCACATTTTCCTTCCTTTCTTCTTCAAACAGGCAGGAATTCTGACTCTCTCAAGAGACCAGCTCAGGCCCTGGGCTCAACTGCCCCTACAATGTGGAACCCACTCCTCCAGGTCGGGACTGGAGCTTTAAAATAAAATGGATGATTTGACCTTACTTGATCTTCTGGAGTGCCCTGTATGCTTCGAAAAGCTTGATGTCACAGCCAGAGTCCTCCCTTGCCAGCACACTTTCTGCAAACCATGTCTTCAGAAGATTTTCAAGGCCCACAAGGAGCTAAGGTGCCCTGAATGCAGGACCCTGGTGTTTTGCAGCATCGAGGCGCTGCCAGCCAACCTGCTGCTGGTGCGTCTCCTGGAGAGCATGCGCTCTGGACAGAGGTCCTGGAGAGGGGGCTCCTTCCGTAGGCCAGGCATGCTGACCTCGAAGAACAGCAGGAAGAGCAGGACCAGCCCCAGAAGTCTGCAGGCCAACCCTTTCCGGCTGGTGCCCAATATCAGAATCCACATGGATGGGGTAAGAAAGAGCTTACTTGTTAAAATCATGTTCACTTCGTGTGTGTGCACTGGGAGCTAGAGATAATCTCCTTTTAGTTACATTTAGAGAGCCACCAATGATTCCCCAGAGGTAAGTTTCTGGGAGCAATAATCACTCTAGTGAAATTCAGTGGAATCCTGAGCCTATGTAATATGTCTGAGAGTTTTCCTCAAAACTTCTAAAGCTTCTTAGGTTCTCCTTTCTTCTTGTCCAGAAGTGGTAGAACAAAGAAAGACTTTTAGATTAGGATTTTGGTCTTTGACTTGTGCTGCTCTGAAGCCAAACCAGTGTGCCAGAAACGCCTGGGGTATTAGGTAAAGAAAGAAAATAAATTCAACTGCTGGTTGTTTTTCAGATCTCCAAGAAGTTTCCAAATGTCCAGGATTGTTTGAATTCTACTCCACTCTTTTTATCCCTAGTCATAAAGCATTATTATAGCAGTATTCATTCATAATCTGCTCGAAGCTATCAGGATACTCAACTCCCGAGATCCAGTGGGAGGGAAGCGTCTCTGTGGGTGAACTGATTGATAGCAAAGGCCAGTCCATGAAATAGGACACATTCGTATAGGAGCCCTGCACATGCATCTCACTTTACAAGATAAATAAAATGCACATGGGGGCTGCAATTAGAACACAAACAGACCTGGTAAACTTGTACAGGTGATCACTAGTCATGCCTTTTGTGTTTGGGGATTGTGAAACCTCTGTCTGGCCTTGCAAGCACACCCTGGGGACTTGGTCTGAGCTGGTGGTGAAGTGGATGTGGAACGGATCTCAAGGCCCCATCTCAAGGGAAAGATGTGATCCCTGGGGGTCCAGCAGGACTATATGCGCCATCAGCCCAGGAGACTGGGCACCAAAGTAGACACGGAAAGCTACGGCTTGTACTGTTGGCGAACCTAGAAAAATCAAAGCTGCATTCTTTCAAGTCTTGCCTAGACAGAGCTTCCATACTAGCATAAGGGTCCCACAACTCTGCTCCAAAGACGAGCAGTGGGTGGCTTTGCACAAGACGCCTTCCTCAGACAGGAAGATGCTTGTGAGGAACATCCAGCACAAGTTTCTGAACTTTTCCCTCTAAAAGTTCAGCTTTCCTTGGGTTCACTGCACCTTTAAGACACCCACATGGTAGGGATGTGTGTAAACATTTAAAAATGAGAGTGGGAAGAAGTGAGATGTTGTGTGATTTCTTCACTGCAGATTTTTTTTTATTATTGCTGTTGTGCTTGTGTGTGTGAATGCATTCCAGAAAAGGGCTCGAAACTCCATGTTACAACTCTCCATTAGTTCTGTCCTAGCCATCAATCAGAAATCCACAGGCCTGCCCAGGCAGAGTGGGGGTGGGGAGCAAGCTTTTCTCAAACATGCCTTGTTTATGGAGAAAAGGGCTCTGACTCTGGGTCAGTAAATTCCCCTTGAATTCCTAAGACTCAACAACTCCTCCTAGCAAAATCTGACTTGCCTTTCAGGAGAATATCATTAGTCACCAAGCAAATGTTCCCAGACAGAGGGAGGAGGTGAGCCTTTTATCAGCTTTGCATACTTTTCTTGGGTTTTTATCTTTTTTGCTGTGCCTGTTTTATTAAGAAAAGGTAGCAAGTTTTTCAGCCATAGAGGATTTAAAGGCCCCTCCTGGTATAGAGATTGAGATGAGAGTGGCTCATACATAAGAGAAAGCCATTAAAATACTGGGTATCCTTAGACCTCTTCTACAGGGACTTGTAACATCGCACTAAGGTGCCAGTGATACGTCCATTTTCATCCTCCAAACTGTTCTGAACCAAGGCCTGTCATGAGGCTGAAACATGGAACCAGCCTTCTAAGGGACCCTGCTTTCAGGCAGGGCCTGGCTTAGTAAAGACTTCTGCAGAAGAGTGGAGCTGGCTGCCTCGCCCCACCACCCCTAGTTCCTTCATTTCCTGAGCTATCCTTTCTTGAAGGGCTTACCTCTTCCCTTTGCCTCTCTCAATGGGAATATGAACAAATCCATCTTTGGATACAAATATGGCACCGTTCTGCACCCTGTTTCTACTGCTAAAAGTGCAACTATCTTTCCTGTAAATGTGAAAACAGCCTCACCTACGAGAACTGAGAATGCTCTGGATACCACACTCTGTTCCAAGAGTCAGAGGAGTGGATTCAGTGAAATCCTCCTGAGTTACTTGCCCTTTCTGCCTCAGTTTATCCAATGTAGCCAATAGCTAGTAATACTTGCCACTCACCTGCCTTCAGGATAGTGTGGATACTATCTTTTTGACATACTGTGTCACCTTAGAAAACATCTGCCAGGTAAATGCAAACCATTGTCATTATCATTAATTTAAAGTTACTGTATGACTTTGGGCAAGCCACTTAAGGTTGCTGGGTCTCAATGTAAAATTCTGTAAGATGGGAAAATGTATTATAAAAACAGAGAGCCATTGTGAGGCTTAACTAATTAATGTTTGCAAAACACTTTGAGAATCTTAGATGAAAGGCATTTGGAAGATCACTATCATAGTAAACATTATTTTGGCTGTTTATTGTGCCCTACATGCATGAGGCATTCTACAAAACACAGAAGGAGTTATAACCCTTGCAAGAGAGTGTGATAGGATTATTATTAAACTTGAGTCTATGATGAGTTCAGACCAGAATAATACTAAGTATAAAGTACTCCCCTAAAAGGGTATAAATAACCTGTTGTTGCAGGGTACCATTTTGTAAAACACCTGTTTCAGAGGACTCACTGATAGCCTGGCACTCTAAAAGAGTTCATTTAACTTCCTGTCCATGAGCTTTTTGAGCCCAAATTCTGCTCTGCTCACCTAGGCTCATATGAAAAACAAGCTCATCAAGATCTTTTTGTTGGCTCAGAGAGGTCTGATGCATCTTGTGCCAGCCAGGATGCTAGGGTGGAACCAATAGTCACACCTCATGGTGCCAGCCCAAGAAAGAGAAAAATTAGCCTATTGTGCCTACATGTCTAAATTCCTCCCAAGCTGATTGTGTAAAAACAAAACTTGAGAAATGGCTGCAGGTTTTCACAGCATGTAATTTAATTATTTCAAACCAACAAGTAAGATCAACAGACTGGAGGCTCTCTCATACTACAAATCCCACTAGTTCTTATTCCTCCCCATAATGCAGTGAAGCCAAAGGAACTTTGCAAGCCTTCCAAAGGATTCTGAGTTCCTAAATAAGCTGATCTCTTTTCCTCTTCATTCTGTTACACTTTAGTAGTATTTCTGAATTAGGCCAGGCAGTAAAGCAGAGAAGCTAAGAATTTATAGGCTTAGGTTTAAGAAATACCAAAATTCAAAACCTGATCCTGCCCCTCAATAGTTGTGTACTTTGGATGAGTCACTTAAATTTCAGGGCATCCAATTCTTCATCTGTAAATTGAAAATAATAGTAGTACCTGCCTCGGAGGGTTGTTGTGAGAAATAAATGAGATGATTCATGTCAATTAGTTCTTGACTGGCTCGTATTAAGCACTCAATAAATGTTAGCTATGATTGTTATTGAAGTGACTCAACACTTTCTAAATTATACGCCCTCTTTCACCTCCTTGTTAATCAAGTGCCACCCTGAGATGATCCTTGATACCCTGGATTCTCGCTTGTTTTGTTTTCCTCCAAATGACCTATCACCATCATTCAGATATGTGATACTGCCCAGGATGTGCTCCTTTGCACCTGATTTATAGGGCCCTTGGGGAACTAGGAGTTGATTCTAGAAGAAAACTTCCTAACTTCACTTCCTCCAAATAGACAGTTCAAAGAAAAATCATACACAAAGTGAGAATCTGGGCCATTTTCCCAGCATCGTTGATTCTTCACTAACTTTTCCATCATTCCTTTTCTCCTGCCTCTCCCTCTGTTCCCCACCACATGTTGCCAATGTGGGTCTTGTGGGGCTGGACTTTCTTCTTACATTGTTAAGCATCATGCCAATCACATACACTCCTGTCTTACCACATATCAGCAAGAACGCACCTGCCTCCACCAGCACACAGACCAGGTGGCTTTGTCCTAGAAACTTTCTCAGCAGGTGTTGCAAGCAACTGAGGAGAGAAAATGAGGTCAGAAAGCATTTTAGGGAATTGAGGCTAAGTAGAAGCCAGCAGGTGGTCTAGCCCCTTCCTGGGCTCGGATGTATTCTGAGACCGAGCTGTGATATAGATGGTGGTTTTTGCTAAATTTTCAGGGGGATTCAAATCATCCTAGGCCCCTGAAAACAGCAGGCAGGTGCCACCTGGGATAGCACAGACCATATGCGACGGGTGGAAGAAGACAGATAGGTAAAGGCTGAAGTTGAGAAGTCAGGAGACCTAGATGATTCTCCAGTGTCACACACATTTGCAAATGTTTTTAAAAACCATATGGTCCTAAATTGGCAGTGCTGCCAACCTCTCTCAATGCACCACCTTTGTAGTTATAATCACCTCCCTTTTGTTGCTAATTGTAAATGTTTAAGGATTTAGAGTTGAATGGGGCTGTATTTGGACTGGGTTTCAGTCATTTGTTATCTGCAAGGGCTTGGGCAAGTCCCTTAACTTCTCTGATCTTCAGTTCCCGTATTTGTAAAATGGAGATAATAATAGTATGATAGTAACAGTACCGTGAGGTTAAATGAGATAATGCATATGAAGAGCTTAGAGCATGCAGTTCCTGGGAAAGACTTTGCCATCACTTAGATAACCAAGGTAATTCCTGCAGGCAGGCTCCTCCCTGTTTTAGTGAGCCAAATATTCTATTAACTTGCTTCAGTTTTTTTATTGGCTAAAGCTCTTTCCCCATGGGATAACCTGAGCTCTGAGACAGATGGGGGGGGGCCCATGATTTTCTTTACTCAACCTTAGTGATCTACCTTATGCACTGGGGGCATGTCACCTAAAGCATTAAGCAGTGCATGTGTTTATGTTGCTTTCCTTTCCCTCATAGGAAAAGTTGTTTGTCCACATGTCCCTTCACACTGTAGAGAGATTCTGCAGAG